CCTTTGGTCTTTCGTTAGATATCTTACGGTACCATTTGTGCGCTTTTTATTTTAATACGATCAATATCGATACGTGAAAGCTTTTATAGCAAATTGACAAGTTTATCTGGTTCTCATTATTATAAGTACTATAATTCTCCATCGACTTTCCTTCAGTTGGTTAGGGTGAATATAGGAGATTAGATTACTTTATTTCGGTGGCTAAGGACTCAGGATTCTTGATATGAGAAAGAGAAAGAAAATAAGAAGATACAGCGACGGCGATTAAGCTAAAAAAGACATTGGCAAGGAAAGGGAAAGAATGACGTTTACCCTCCAGAATCCCAAACGTAAAGCAGATACGCGTTTGTGTGCTACTCTTTTTTTTTGGGATAGACGTGCGGGTACCTGTGCTGTACGTGTAACATTTTTACGCACACCCTCGTATATTCTCTATATAGATAAGAAGAGGTAGATAGAGAGAAAGTCCTGCGGACATTAAATTCGAGTCACGTAGTGTACGTATTTTTTGGAGAGTAAGAGAGGGTGATTCAAGTTGTGCCTGTGTGTGAATTTCACGCGATTAGGTTATTGATTTACGTCGATTTGTCGAAATGATCATTAATACAGACGTGCAATTTGTACACGATTAATACATTATCGTTAAATTGTCATTCATGTACACTATTTCTTCATAAAACAAGATAAATACGTATGGATACGTGTCGTGAGATCTCTTGCTGGGCGCGAGTATAAAACAGCGGGAAAATAACCATTAAGCCAAGATAGGCGGCTCCACGGGGTTGCCGGTACGGCGTACACTTATGTGGACGGTGCACCTATCAAAATCATTTTTCATTGCGATGGAAAAGTGCACAAACGATATATTTCGCGCACGTTTACTTCATAAAAGTTTGTTGTGATTTTTGTTGTACTCGATCAGAGAAATCGTGACCTCACGGACTTTTTGTTTCTTTACTATCTTGATTATCATGGAGGTTGCCGTGACAGATACCAACACCAAGTACATAATTATAATAGTCAAAGTGACATCCAAGTGATAGAGATATAGTTACCAATCGAGTACCAATTCTTACGTTTTTGCACTACAATCGAGGAAAATTAGACATGAAAATCTATAATTGATATAGTGCATAAAGCACTTACGATACATTTTTATAATCTCTATAGCAAATTCCTGTGGGGAGCACGTATAATAATAATCAACGTATGTACCTAACAGAGGATCGCGCGGGTTTATGGCCATGTATAGGTACACGTACGCGTTTCGATATATGACCATGAAGAGTTGCATCATACACGTATACATACACCTCAAAGATAAGATCAGGTGGGAGAGAGAGAGATTGTCCGATGGGGAGCAGAGCTTACGTGTCCCGTGCATTATATGTATGTAGACGCGTATTCAACTTGGTTCTCTGGTACCTGTATCTCATAGTGACCTTAATTCTTTGCTTTGATACTTCATTTGGGTCCAAAATTTAAATTGAACTAATTAGCCATCACTTCAGGACTGTTACTCTTTGTTACTCAACATACACATAAAAGTAATAAAATAAGAGTTAAACAATAACTTCAAAAAATTCAATTGGCCTGCGCTATATATTATTAATGCATAAAAACAACTCGCGACCCTTTTATTCTTTTGAAGCGCTATAACAAGTTCGAGATCTTTTTGCGCAAGGGATGACCAAGAGGGAAATAGAAGAAAAGTGACAAAAATTAATACAACGCGTCCACCCGCTCGAGGGGAAGGTAAAGAAGAGCATGAAGATTTACGGCGACGCGTCGCCCATTGTTGCAGGGGCCAGGAAATTTTTTCACGAGCTGTTGGCCGCTAAATTGGCTTTTTTTTTCCCCCGTGCCCGGCTCATCTTGAGTTATAGCCATGGGCAGCGCGGCCCCCATTTATTATGCATCGATTTGTCGAACCTCGTCATCCGCCGTCCCGGTAATTTCGATGATTGATCTTTCCTTTACCGGATGCATCGATACCTACATGTGTATACGGCGCATCAAAGAGCCGAACGACTTTTTACCAACCACAACAACGAACTTGCCTTGTTAACGAGGTATATAGGCATATATATACACAGGAGGACACTCGTGTCATTTGCGCAACAACATTCCTGTTAAAAATCGATATTTCAGTGTTACGCGCAAAATGCATTGCCGTTCGATTTGGCGATGACAAGGTTTCCTCGAAGGATCGGGCACGAGGCAAAACTCGTACGTATAGGATTTGTCATACGCCAGATCGCAAATGAGATCGATGGTCCAATTGCCGAAGCATAAATTTTAATATTCCCGATCGGTGCTTTCGCCGAGCACAAACCAACCAAACTGTAATAATTTATAACCCGTACGCGTGGTTACATGTGTAAACGCATAATCAATGCACACTCGCGGGGAAAAAAAAAAAAAAAAGAGGAGCACGAAAAAGATAAATCACGATTCACTAGGTTCGAGTGTCAAAGCAGCATTTCACACCATGACATTATGTTATAGAGATAACAACACGTAATAATAATACCTACACGTATAGCGAGTGCGCGCGTCCCGTTAGATCGAATCTTTAATTGGTCGCGAGAGAGAAGATAGATCTCACACACGTGCGTGCTGTTGTGCAGGTACGTTGCAGCCCCAGGTTGTGCACGAGCTGCACGTGGCTCGATTACCCGCGTCTAAAACCGACCGACTTGGGCTGGTCTCTGAGTGGGTGGTCTTGAGGCTGGGTTATACACGTAAAGATTAATGTATATATTCTGGTGTGCCTACTTGCACGCGCTCTTCGTTGCGGAAGTGAACGATTCATCTGATCGAGCATTACAATATGTTTGTAATTCAAACTGTATGAATGAGACGAAAGTGTATGTAAAATATACATATACGTCATTGCAACTAAAAAGAAAAAAAAAAAACAAAACAATGTGCTTGGACCTTCGTCGTAGGTATGTAAGTACATTTCTTTGATGTCTGCATTGATTTGTTCACAACCCTTAAAATAACGAGTGAGTGGAGTAACAAAGGAGCACGGCATACGTATATTGATGCTTTGAGCCATTTGGATTGGATGTAAAGTCAGGTGCTTCAAAGACTGCACGATCATGTAAAATCGGGGCTCTCAGCCCCAATGCGTTACTTTCATTTCACAAATCATCCAACCGCATATTATACTATATAATATCTAGTTAGCAAAAGCATCATTCGTTTCATCATCTCGTTAACACAAAAGAGTGATTTATCAATGGATGATAATGAACTATGGTACATATATCACAGCTGCATCGAAAGCTACAAAAGCACCGTGCGAGGCCCGATCGAGTTTTTGATTTAAAAGCAGAACGTGTAGGCGCTTCCCACCTCATCTATTGGGCTCGTAATTTAAGAGTCATCTGTCTGCTATTGGGGGGGAAAAAAATAATGCAGCGCGAGCGAGTGAATTGAATTAGAATCGGAGGCGTCAATTTAGGGGCGTGTCGGGCATCATCGGGGCTAGCTGCCTCTTCCCTCTATTGCCGCGTTATGAGCACATTGGAGAATTTTGACGTTTGAAAAAATATACTTTCTCTTGCTGTTACGATTCTCAAATTTATAAATATAAGTTTTACCACGTGAAAGGGAACGTTTGGATACACGTAGGTGTACATTTTCAATCAGTATTACCTCCATTGTGGGGTACAAGACGAAAAAGCTGAGCTCGCTCGCGTGACAAACGAGCGGCAAAGGAAAATACAAATCACTGATAAATTAATTGCGCCCTACACGTATATAATACAGTATAGTTATAGCAATATACATGTAAAGGTATGTATATGTTCAAGTCGCCCCGCACGCACGTTAAATTTATAAAGAACCAAGCACGCGAAGCACCGGGATTGCATAAGCCCGAAGGCACGAAGCAAGGGAGGGAGGAGGAATAATATATGTATGATACGAGCGCACACTCCCGGACTGGAGTGGTGTGGTGAAGGAGAGAGTCGGTATACGTTACACATATACCCCACTATAGGTACTCGTAACAGGGAATACCCCATGCATACGCACTTGTTCGCGGGGTGATGCCCTTTTTTTTCTTCTCGACTGTTTTTCTAATTTGTTTGCCCTCTTAGCTGCTCTATTCCTCCACTGCCTCCACCTCACGTTTAACGTTCTCTCTATTCTTATCCCTCTGTGGGACATCGCAATTTTTTTTTTTTTTTTTTTCTCATCTACGCTAGTCATTTAATTATCGGTAGGTAATAAGCAAGTTAAATCGTGAGTGTATACAATACTTGAAAAATTCCAAGTTAGAGGGGAGCTTGTAAAATTTTTTGCTCGACAATACATTCGAGTCACTTGTTTATTAGCTCACCAGATCTGCATTAGCGCGTAGTCGTAGCAAAAAAAAAAAAAAATGTATACTTATATGTATGAAAGGGGCGTGGGTGTCTGCTGAACGGGTTTTTGGGAGGCTTTTCAGTGGAGCTCCATCTCGTCTCTTTCTCGGTTACAACTAAAATTAACCGAGTGTATTATTACCCCGAAAATTCGGCAGGGCATATATATATAAGCATCCGTCCACGCATAAATACGCAACTTTTGGTTTCTCCCAGTTCTTAGGTATATACACTTATACCATCGCCGCGCGAGTAAATGAATCTCACGTACGTCCACGATAAGGCTAATTGGTACCTCCTCGTTCAGACTTTCTCCTCCCCCCCCCCCTCAGCTCCTCGCGAGAGAATAGTATACCTACGACGCTCGTTTGTCCCTCGTCAGCGAGATAAAGAGTTTTCGCGACACGGCCGAAAAGGTGATGGTGCAGCTGTACAGCATGGATGAAAACATAATCTCCACGCGACGAGCATATGTATATCCAACACCCGGTATTAATTTGCCAAGAGAATCCCTGCAGCCGGACCTACTGTTTTTTTTCTTTTTTCATTACCATCTATTTTATTTTCACAGCTTTTGTTGCCCCACAAAACTTGATCGTTCCTTTTCTCCCATAATTTCAGAGGGTCGGGAGACGCCGTTGTCGCCGCCACCGCCACCAGCTGCGTTGGGCTCCTCCGCGCAGACGTCGCCGCGTGGATTGAGCTACACCCGGGGTCCGGATGGCTCGCTCTACGCGGTGGTACAGACGAGCGGCACCCACGGGGCCGGCACCCGCGGCTCGCCGCTGACCGTGTCTATGGACAGCGGCATCAGCAGCGCCCCACCCCAGAGACCCAGCCCCCCCGAGCCGACTCACCAGGAGCCCGAGAGCCTCGCCCACACCGACCTGGACAAGCTCCTCCAGGACATGATGCTCACCGTCGAGGTCAGTCGTCCCCCTCTCCCTCATTTATCCACGAGAGGTACAACAGCATAACTGCAATGTCTCTTTTGTTTGCCGATTGCAGTCCATGCCCGATCCCCCGAACGACGAGTACAACCGACCCATGCAAAACGGGCCCTCGAAGATGTACATCCACGAGCAGCATCCACCGACCCGCGGAGGGTCCTCGGCCTACTCGACCCTCAAGGACTCGTACCGCAGCTACAACAACAACTGCGTCAGCAGTAGCAGTAGCACGGTGAAAGAGTCGAGTCCGCCGTACTCGAGCAGCAGTTACAGCACCCTCAAGCAGCACAGCAGCAGCCACCGGCCGGGCTACGACTCGGTCGACTTTGCCAGGGGCTCGCCCGACCAGCGGGCCAAACACGACAACGGCTCGTTCTCGCCCCCGGGCAACATCGACTACATAGACGAGGACATACCGTACCACGCGCGCCAGACCAGCCAGCCGTTCTCCTACGGCGCCACCAACGAGATGATCAAGCACCAGAAGCTCTCCTCCCCGTCCCTCGTGAGGAAGGCCTCGCTACGGGGTGGCGCACCGGTCGCCGATCTCGACGACATCCTCGGGGAGAGTGGTAGGAGGCCCGCGAGTCCGCTCAGCCCGACGCCCGACCCGCCCCCCGAGTTCGCCAACGGGCCCGTCCCCGCCAAGCCGCAGTACCGCGACAAGGACACCGACGGGTGAGTTTTTAATTTTCATCCCTCCACGTGTAAATAAAAGCCGCGTGTGTGTGTGTTTTTTTTCCACGCGCATTTAAAAAAAAAAAAAAAAAAAAGGTTGCGTGACTTTGCACAACGCGAGGAAAGAAAAAAAAAACACCTTCTCCGCTTCGAGTTTGGGAAAACAAGCGGACCGAGCGCTCCCCTTTAGGACAAATAAACTCCGCTCCTTTGAGGCGCGCGCGGAATAACAAGTTCGCGAAATGCGCATCGCTCGTTTCGGCGAATGTTGTTTTTTGTTATCGTTCGAAAGGCGAAATTGAAAAAAACGCGCAGCAAACTTCAATCGGCTGACTCACCGACTAATTTTACCGCGGAAACTTGGCTGAAGCGCAATTTCTTTTTCCCCACCTCTCTTTCTCTTGGGCTGTATCATTGTTTTTTTTTTTTTTTTTTTTATATTTATTTCGCGTTTAATCGTAGAATTAATCACCCAACTACATGGGACAACCATCGAGTATTTGAAACAAAACGAAATTGCCTCCGGCCTCTTCCGGCGATCCTCGGGCTTGTTTATGCCGAGGCGGGTCCATAAATAATAGGTAAACGCGCCTTCGTGAGAGATACACAGTCGCAGAGAGTTTATTTCGAGCCCGCGACTCGCCCTCTGACATAATTATACGAATATAGCGTGCCCACACAAGCGAGACGCTGTGCGCTAAATCGGCCATGGTGGTGGTGACGCTGCCTGTGCACGCGATGGTGTCGGAGTATAATATATCCCACCACATGCACTTTAGAGAAAATAAGTACAAGCTGATACTCATCAATGGGTGCACCACATTGTACATCTCCCGTTTTGTCCAGATCCGTCGAAGGGGGACGATGGCAGTAGACCAAAATTTGATTTAATCGAGACATATTTACAAATAATAATTAATTAATTCAACTTAACGAGGTGCCGCGATGATTTAGCTGTTTCATAGTGCCGAGTGTACGGTTTGTGCTTTCGTGGAATAAATTGTTAAAATTGTCAAGTAGATCGAGGGCAGGAATATCATCCGCGGATCGCGAGAACCTCTTCATTATGATTAGATATATAAGATGAATGATAGTTGTTACACATATATACAGGTATAGGTGTATAAAAATATAGCTCCGATAAACCAGTCTACCACGCGACTGATCATTAATAAAGTCGCTCGTACGTATAATATACATATAAATATAATGTATACGTAATACCCCCAAGCCCGAAGATCGGGACGTCCGACAAGTTCTCGGCTCTACGTCTACATCCTCTCTCTCTCTGATCGACGATTAATTTATTTACGGAATCACGATTTTTTTCTTTTTTTTTTTTTTTTTTTTCAATCGCAAAAAGATACATAATTTACACAGAGATCTGTAATCGGCATCAAATCGGCCGGAGTAGATCCCTGCGGTGAAGTCCGATAATAGCGAGCGATAACTCGATAAGCCCGAGCCTCGTAAATACCCCTACTCGTATAACTTATTGCGTTATAGGTATATCTTCATCCGGAGTCTAATTCAATAATTGCACGCACGTGCGAGCGGCAAACAAGTTGCGCGCACTTTCCATTTGGCGCCACGTGAAAGTTACTTTACACTTTTTCTTTTCTTTTTTTTTTTTTTCCAATCAACGTAACCAGTTTCTCTCTTTGCTCCTACGTACAAAGATATATACATTTTTTCAAAAAAATCGCTTTTTAAAATCAACAATTTAGCTCGTAAAATTTAACGACACGCACCGGTGTTTACCTGAGCTTATTTCCTTGCACAGGCTGTCTATGTACACACCTTAGCAGAAATGGAGCTCCCTCTCTCTCTCTTATACTTGTGCAGATAATGCATCTAGAGATATATATATATATATGGACCTATATCTATACGTTGTAATTTGCGCGTTAATGGTCTACTCGGGCTCCAACGCAAGTAAATACCTATATATATAACACGCCCAGCAGCAGTTTCTCAATAGTCATCATCTCGGCCGTTATACGCACGATTGGGCGTCCAAGGTAGTGACTTACCTATATACTTTTCTCCGGCGTCGCGTGCATCTACACACACCTATACGCATAAGGTAGCGCCGGTAGCTATGATCGGTAGCGAGTGAGCTTATTTTTAAGACTTTACGACGTGCTTGGACTCGACCGCTGGCGAGAAACGCGCGCGAGTAAAAAAAACAACCCAATTGGCTCTTTCGTGCCGAAGTAATTCAAACCCTCTCGCGACTATTTTCAACAAACGCGTATACACACGATTACCGATCACCAACTCGAAAATGCCCATACCGGACTCTGATGGAGTCAACGCGAGCACGCGATGATACCCGAAGGTGTATATATATTACTACCGTCATCAACCTTCAACTTTGCCGATAAGCGTAATTTGAGCGGCACAAGTAAATCGGTAAGTATACTTGGGTATAGATCGGCTCGTGTGTGCTTTGCAGGCAGTCGTGGCTGAAGCAGCAGCAGCTGAAGTTGGCCGCGCGCCGGGACGAGCGCAGCCCGGCGAGGCTGTGGCGCCAAGAGACCGGCAACCGCATGATCGGCGAGCTGAGGAGCGTGCAAAAGTCGAGGATGCGCCACGACGGCTACGCCAGCGACTCGGCGGTCCTCGACGATCGCGACGACGACGCCGACGACGACGACGACGACGACGCCTGGGCCCTTGGCTCCCCCAACGGACAGGTATGCCCTTGCGTTGTCACTCTCCATCGAACATTACGTGTAATGTAACCGGGATATCGTCCACGTTGCAGTCGACAATGAGGTCGACGACCACGACAACGACGACGAACATGTCAGCACCGGCGAGTCCCTTGTTGCCGCAACGCTCGTCGAGCTGGAAATTGAACGGCGGAGTCGTGGGCAGCGGGAGTTACCAGCAAAGTAGGCCGAGGGCAGTGAGCGTCAACGAGCGGCCCTTCGTCGCCGCCAAGCGAGCCTACGAGTACAAAAAACACACCGACAGCCACGTAAGTCGCTAGTTTTTTTTTTTTCAACCTCCCCTTACCCACCCACTTGTCCCTTTTGTTTTCCGTATAGTGAGCACATGCACACTGCACGGATACGGCCGATCTTCCATGTACCGTTGACCCCTCGATGATCCAGATGAATTTTTTATCATCAATTTGAATTAACAATCGATACTAACGACCTATCGGTTCGGTTCCGATGTATTCATAACCAGTTATCCGTATGCATCTAACGATCATTGTTTTTCGTTTTATTTAACGACATGTTCATTCATTCGCCGATTTGTTCACGTATTTTCAATCGTATAGCCGTGTTGCACTAATATATATTTTTGATTATCCGCGTCCCATACACCGCATTCAATTTTTAATCAGTATAACAATTATATTGACATACATGTTTGAAGTAGCGAGTACGCGAGTGCCCGAGTAATTTTTAGCGTGTATGGTTGTGCGTGGCTCCGTTACCCCGAAAGATAAGATATACGTGGCCCGGAAGCGTTGCCCTTCCAAAAATAAATCCGCCCGAGCGAGTAAGTATACGAGCCTCCGCGAAACGATGGTACACACTCGCCTTGGCTGAGCGTGTGAGGGCTTCGCTTGCAGAGTCCACTGCTCCAAAAGCTGAGCAACGGCCACCAGCAGCAGCAACGCCAGCCACCGCGGCCCGAGTCGCGCAGCGACAGCTACGCGCGCACCGAGTCCTTCCTGCGCGAGCACAGCCGGCTGTTGAGCAGCAGCCTGAGCAACCACAGCTCCGGCAACCACGTGGCCTTCGACCTCGACAGGGAGGGCAGCAGCGCCGTGTCCTCGCGCTACCCCTCGAGGCCCGAGTCCAGGAATCAGTCGTCGAGCTATCACCTGCCGGCTTGCAACGGCATCACCCGGAAGGAGAGCAACGGCCTGCTGACGACGGTCGACCAGCCAGCCCAGAACTCCGCGACTACCGACCCTCTCGTGAGCCTCATTGAATCGCTGGCCGAGATTAGGCCACTCTCGGAGCCTGTCGTAACGGCGCGGGCCAATGGCACCAACACCAATACTAACAACAACAACAACAAAAACCACAAATGCACCAATGTTAACAATGGCCTAGCCAAACCATTACCGCACGAGTCGCACCATAAGAAGCCGGCAGTCGTACCTAACGCCACTGCCGGTCTCGTAACGGTCCCAGGAAGCGCTACTAACACCCGCACCTCTAACCAGTCGCCAAAAGCATGGCAGAATTGCACCACCGCACCAAAGGTTCGTTCGCGCACGCCATTATCGCATCAACGCCCACGCCCATCGCACGCGACTAAAGCACCTAAATTTGCCGAAAATGCACGCACTCATTGGCTACACTTGCAGCTATTTTTTAAGTTGTTTTTTTTTTTTTTTTCTTCTCACTTTGCTCGCGCACAATCAAGTTGCATGATTCATTGATGTACACACTCTCGCACTGTGGGTCAAATTAAGAGCGCTGACAACAAAAATGCAATTAAAGTCTCATATAAATGGTCTATTTCTCGCGTATACGTAGAAAGTAGTGCTTGATGTAATAATACACTAGACGCAACGTGCAAGCATGAGGCTCGATCGGGTAGTTGGAATATAGCGCCATCAGAGGGGGAATATAAAGGTCCGATGATCGAATCCCTGTTACAGTCGCACAATGACTCGCCGTCATCGTGGACCGAGAGGAGCGTCAGCCCAGGAAGCGCGCCGGTCACGGCCTCGCGCCCCCAGACGCCGGCCTTTCCCGTGCACCCGCGCACCCCCTACGTCAACAACAACAACAACGCCTCGCCCAGCGTGACCTTTGCCTCGGATCGTCCCACCCACCAGCCCCAACACCACTACGCGCATCACGCCAACAACTCGCTGACAGCGAGTTACGGCAACAACAACGCCCACGCTGAGACCAACAACAACAAGAACGTGGCCAATTACGGGGCTGAGAGGACGATCTTCATCGAAGAACGCAGAGACGCCAGAGAGACGGGACTTCCGCCAAAGAGTCCGACAACGCAGCGGTAGGTGGTGTCCTCTTTCTTTTTCGTTTGACGCCGCGCGATCATTTCACTTGTGCATCGAGCAGGAAATACATCGTTTTTTTTTTCTTTTTTCTTTTTTCTTTCATTGTTATCAATGTCTAACGTGAAACAACGTTGAAAAATTTATCCAATAGACGCTTGAGTTTTCCGGAGAATAGTGGCTTGGCAATCGAGCCGTGCGGCAAACGGTGGCCACTAACCAAGCAGTCGGCTTCGTTTGACTATAGGTAACAAGCGACACGTGCTCGAAAGGGACGTTTTAAACAAAAAACGTTATACCTTTTTTACTTTAATGCCTGATGTGTATGTCACACCATGTTTATTGTGTACCTATGGGTAACATGCGACTTTATAGTTATACGGTTATAATATCATTAATGTTCGTTCTCTGCACAAAATCAGTGTTGTCACGAATGTTAGTCGCACACACTTACCCAACTAATTACATGGTATATTAGCGAAAGGAAATAATAGTACATGTGCATAAAAGTTTGCTCGGAAGAATGTATAGCGCACGTAACAAACTAAAAAGCTCGTAAGCAGCTGCTACTAAACCAAATGTAACGTTAACTCTTGAATTTCGTTTTGTTTCGTCGAAAATTATTTTTTGTCTCACGCATTTGTATAAGTACAAACCATTGGAAGCACATTTAATGAAAGTAAATATTTAAACAAGCGAATGTTCTGTACATAATAATGTATATGTATACGTTAGGTTTAATGTCGCACGAAGTGTATTTTGCGCATGTACTTACACACTTATCCGAGACGATGTATTTGACGGTACTATGCGTTTTTGTTGCAGCAAGGACCGACCTGTCTCTCCGTTGGACGAGATCGTTGGTAACAATTCTTACAGCCGTGGTCCTGGCACTCCCACGCACGCTGAATACGGCCATGGTGCAAAGGTATTTGAAACTTTTTACTCTTTCGCGTGGACAACGGCCTCGAAAGTTTCCGCAAATTATTAATCAACGTATATCACTTTTATGCCTTTTTTTAGTTTAAAACGGTAGTTAAACTGACAGACGAAATCGCCATGGTAAAATTTGTGTGTGACATTTTAAAAATGTTTGTTTTCTCCCTTAGAAATACTGTGTACAATTCATAGGAGTGTTGATAATGATCATAGTATAGTGACAATATATCCTCTTCTCGGTGACTAAAAAGTACCGTTGTAAAATGTCATAATCACCTGTGTTTAAAAATACAAAGTTGATCGTTATTAGATTCGGATAACGAGCCAAAAATGTACGAGAGTGAAAAAAAAAAAGTCCTGTAAAACAATATATAAGATAGCGAATCGGATGTACCTAACGTGTATACCTTTAAGCTATTGTGCATGACTGAATTTCCCGTAGTGTAATTAAACGTGAAACAAAAAAAGGAAAATACTGTTTAACGGTGATTAATGTCGTATATATTTTTTTTTCTTCCAGAGCGCGGTATCTTACACGTCGATAAACAGCGCGGGCCACTCGTCGACGCACACGCAGTATTACGGCTCCCGGCGATCGAGCGTACTCTCCAACACGGAGCCGCACGAAGTAGCGGACGCCAATGTCAAGTTTGTTCGAGATACCAGTAAAATCTGGTACAAGCCCAACATATCCCGCGAACAAGGTACGCGTCTTTTCCTTTTTTTTTCTACCTTACCCTGATAACAATAATAGTAGTAGTGGTGCAGATATATCGGCGTTAATTTATGCCCTCGCTGGTGTTGAAGTGGAGCAAAACAACTGCCCAATTAAAGGCTATATAGTTATATAAAGTAGAAGCGGCAGTATACCTACGTGTATAGCGGTGGTGGTGTTATTATTTCAGCAATAGGAATGCTTCGGGACGCACCTCCGGGAACATTCGTCGTGCGGGACAGCAATTCCTTCCCAGGTGCGTTCGGGCTTGCGCTGAAGGTGGCGACACCGCCTTCCGGGGCACCAACGAGCCCGAGGGAGCCGTCGAACGAGCTGGTCCGGCACTTCCTTATCGAGCCGACCTCGAGGGGCGTGAGGCTGAAAGGCTGCGCCAACGAGCCCGTGTTCAGCTCGTTGTCGGCCCTCGTCTACCAGCACAGCCTCATGGCCATGGCTCTGCCCTGCCAGCTCCTGCTTCCCGAGCCCGAGGCCGCCGTACGGGCCATCGAGTCGTCGAGCAACGGCAACGGTCCTCAGCAGCTCCTCGCCCAGGGCGCCGGTAAATACACCTACTCATCTGCATCTTCACCCATCCTTTTTTTTTTTGTTGCTCGTATCAACTCAATTGATTGTTCCGCCCAGCCTGCAACGTGCTGTACCTGTTTACGATGGACACCGAGTCGTTGACCGGGCCCCAGGCCATCAAAAAGACCATAACTGCCCTCTTTGACCAAAAGTCCCTGCCCAGCGCGACCATTGTCCACTTCAAGGTGTCGTCCCAGGGCATCACCCTCACCGACAACGCCCGCAAGCTCTTCTTCCGCAGGCACTATCCCACGAGCAACATCAGCTACTGCGGCCTCGACACCGAGGAGCGCACCTGGGACTTTGTCAGCGATAACGGCCGCCCGCTCAGCGAACAGTAAGTATATACCTTTCTCTCTCTCTCTGTTATGTGTATATATATTCACCAGGAATTTTGAGGGTGAACAACTTTTTTTTTATTTTCCATAGCCGTTGCTTTGGATTCGTCGCGAGGAAGCCCGCCCACAAGTCCGATAACCAGTGCCACGTGTTTGCGGAGCTCGAGCCCGAGCAGCCGGCCACGGCGATCGTCAACTTTGTCAACAAGGTCATGATGGGCAGCGCGCACGCCAAAGCCAACATTGTATGAAAGCGGCGTTAACGGCGGTTTCTCTGATTTGTGGGGCGATTGGGGCTACGATTTACGGCCAAAAATGTACAAACCAAAACAAATTGTCAATGGAGGAGCAATGCGTTTTTTCGAAATTTTTTCCCTCTCTGAGGTATCATTTTTTAAGTCTTACACCGAGTCCAATATCCAAAGAAGCTCGTCAATTATACTTTTTTGATGTATTACGGAGCGCTTACTTGGGAGGTACATGCCGTAGACTTGTATTTTCAAGATTAACCGTCAATCGCTTGCGGGAACAGAGAAATGGGTCGTTATTGTTGTTAAAACTGGTTTTTTGGTCTGTACGTACAATTACCATGTCAAGTAATAATGCAGTTAACTAAACAAGAACTGCATTTGATTGTGCGCTGTGGTTTAAATGTGGTCGTTGTCTTGACGTTGTTTAGGCGTTATAATAATGTGGTACATGTCTAGTGTTTTGTCGAGTGTACTAATAAAAGAATTGAAGAAATGTTTATAAATGTACATAACACTATCGCCTTATGTAAGAAAGGTAGCGCCTAAGCCCGTTAACTGGATAAACGTATGAAGCGACTGTGAAAAGTATTTAGGCAAAGAAAAACAGTGCTTGGTTACTGGGCTACCACGAGAATGGAGGAGATGTGTTAAACGATATGTTTAAAAAAACGAAACAGAGTAAGATTCAAGTTATGAGGATTATTGAAAAATTATTTTGCAATTTGATAGCAAAACACGTGGAATCGATTGCTTTTTACTTGATTTGTAAAATATTTAAGGACTAATACGATAGCGTTTAACGAGACAAAGCTGTAAAATAAACAATTTAAGTTGTGCCTTACGAATGATACATACAGATATACATATATATTTACATTTGTAGAACCGTAAAGTCTAAGTAATTTATACAACAACATTATTTTCAAATCAAATTTTTAGTCATAAATTAAGGGTTATTTTTTATGATTCAAAGATTTTTTTATCAATTAAACGTTTTCTCAAGATATTTTTGTTAAACGGTCTTTTTTCAAACGGTGAAAGACTATATATGGCGTTGCGTCGATGAACGAAGAAGCCAGTTACAATAAAGCTTGCAAAGCAAATACTGCAAAAGATATTATGAAATTTTTGCAAACTTGTTAAATAAGAAAACAGCCGAACGCGTCTGTCGTCTACAAGGAAGCTTCACAGACGTCTCAAGACAAATACCTCTAGATTCTTGCCATTGTTAGAGCTCTACCGCTGTAGTTTTCACGTATACGTAGAACTTGAAAAAAATCTTTTTTTTTCAGCCTGTAATAGTTTTGAGTCGACGATAAAGGTATGAATCTCAAAATGTATAAGCAGTCAATTAGTAGTTGAAAAACTAGGTACGACAATACTGTTTCGGTAAATTATTTTCTCAACTTTGGCGTTTGCAAGTTATTTTTTATTCTATGTATTGCCATTTTCAACAAATTCTCACAATTTCGAAACTAGTGGAAGAGATTTATTTCCAGTATCCTTTATTTGGATTCATGTACAATGAATATACACACAAATATAAACATACGATGCTATGTGCATACTAGTCAAAATTCGAGCAGTAATAACGTCAGGGTGTTTTTTATTTTACTTGTGACATATATGTTAGTGTTTTAGGTGAATATACGTAACAATAAAAAATAAAAAATAAAATAAAAAATAAATTGATGGCGTAAATTGTAAAGATGATTTTAAATGGAAAAAAAGTCTTACCACCACCAACACGAACGGTATGGATAATCTATTTTAATTTTCGCTGGTTAATGTATTACTAACATAATTTTACCATATTTTTGTGTAATGTAATTTTCAGTCACTACCGTAATTGTTATTAATGTTAATTATATATAATATATGCTTTAATTGATGTACGTTTGTGCCGCGATTTTATTGTACAAGAGTATAAGTACTGCATAATTCCATGTATAACAATAAATTATATATTCAGTGCCCAAAATTGACGTTATTTGGTCTGTTCGATCCTCGCCTGATTCCTCGCAAGGCCACAGGAATAGCTGTAAAAAAAAAAAAAAAAAAAAAACAACAACTCTTAAAACTTTGACAGCTCCCCGTTACCATAAAAAAATGTATCACGTATTCAGTCGACTGAAATCACAAAGAATAATACATTCCAAGTCCAAAACCGACCTTTTATCATGTTACATATCTCTATTCTTCCGAACCAACTCGCAATAGGGAAAGGACGGAGACTAAATTCATTTCCACCTTTGCTACAGTTATAACTTTTTTTTTCAAGAGAAATTAATCCTGAATTGATAACATCGGGACTTTCGATTAAGACACACTTATAATCGTGGCGCGGGAAGAAAGTTGACTCGATGCTTGGGAGCGGATAACGAAGCGGGTAAATTGCCCATCCAATCGAGGTGGGGGGGAGGGGATTAATCCCGCGGTGCCGCCTTGGATTAATCGGAGCGCGACGCCCGAAAGATCATCGACGGTGACTCCCGAAACGGCGGCCGTGGCCTCACACCGAGTGCCAAAGCCGCGACTGCCCGCGAGTCGTGGGACGGCGATATACTTTGTGTACTTACTTTGGGACGAGGAGCGAGAGAAGCAAACTAACGGCAAATTTACTGACCTACTGGCGCGCAGACCTCGACCTGACCGCCACCGCGAGCATTGTATAGATACCTTATGTACACGTATATATGTATATATACACATACCCAGTCACATGTGGTATTGGTACACGTATAGGTATTTACTTACTGGCCAACTTGCGGGATTGTGTGTCAGGCGTGCGTGCCCCGGGACTTTTTTTCTTTACAGTTGGAATTGTGTGAGATTTATTTTTCGTTGTTCTCTCTTTACCCACAACTACGTCCACTCGGAGGAGTGCCTATTTATTGTCCCCGACGTTGGGAGGAGAACGCCTAGTGGATACACACACACACACACATATATATATATATATATATTCACTCACTTGTACATATACACGTCGATTAAGAACGAGGGTAAAAAATATGTAATTGAAAGTAGGTACGCGCGTATAATCTAAAATTGTAGGTATGCACGACGCATCCGTGCCTATACGTGTAATCGTGTACGGACGTATACATGTGTAGGGAAATTGTAAACCCGAGCTGTTATTAGAAGCAACTCGTCCAGAAAACGTAAAAAAAAAAAAAACCTGGTCATCAATACTGTAAATCAGATTGTGTTTTATACAACTACGAATCTAACGCGCCTTAAAAGTAATACCTAAATGTTTAAAACTTTTTCAGTAAATATGTATTTATAGTTAACAAAACACTTGGATCAACATCAACAAATTAGAACTTATATGTAAGCACGATAGCTAACCGATCCAATCCTCGATGAAAAAAAGAATCACAAAAAAAAAAAAAAAAAAAAAACGAGTATTCGTAACGAGCTCATCGGCCGATCCCGAAAATCCCGTGAAAGCCCCGCGGGCGCACGTGGAAGGTGGATCGATGAATCGGTCCCCCCGAGCGGATCCCTCTCCTTTCTCCTCGCGGCGCGTGTTCCGTCCTTCGCGCATGGGACCGGTTCTTTCTTTCAGTCGGCGAGGGACTTTCGAGGTACGAGCGCGCGCGCCCGCTCACTTTTTTACCCAACTATACGTACTTACCCAAAGTATCTGAGTAACCGAGCGCTCCTCTGCCGATTTTTTTACAGTAATATCGGTATCGGATAAAAACGTGAAACAAGCCGGTTCGTGTACATCGTTATCCGGACGGCGCGCTCGATGTGACGATCCCGAGGTAGGCGAAAGATCGGTATCGGTAGAGATGGGCCCGCAGAGGAAGCTGATCGTCGCCCTGGTCCCACTGCTCGTGGCGCTGCTCGGAAAATGCCAGAGCCCGGACATGCTGCGGTCCCTGCCGAAAAACGTCAGCGGCTACCTCGTCAGCAGGGATGGACAGTTTTACGTCCAGCCGGCACTCGAAAATCAGAGGTATACTTACTTTTAATCATTGGCGATTTAATCGGCTTCCCGTACGCGACTCGATTGATCGTTTTCGGTCAACAAAATGTTAACATGGCAAAACAGTTACGCTGCACTTACCTAAGTACACCTAAAATGTATAACACCGTATAAATTATGATAAATATCAGTTTGAGGAATTCTCGTTGCTGCGGTGCAGATACGTGTAGGTGGGGGTTCGCGAAACCACGTTTTTGGGACCATTTTTTCAGACTACTTAGGGTCATACATTCTCCAACTATTCGAATCTGCCGATATGATCTACACGATAAACGTGTAAATAGTGCGGAAGACCGAGTATCAAACTTTTTTAAACTTTACAATACAAACCTACTTACAGTTGCGCACCTTATACTGTATATGGTTAAAGTATATAATTTTATGAGGTAAGATGTATGGCACTGCAATACACACTTGTCTCATTGTTGCCCATGTAGATATGTATTTTTGTGATTTCACACCGACTTCCTAATGGGCCTCTCTGCGATTTCCCGTTAATTGAATAGTAATGAAAAATAAAAAAAAAAAATTAACAAGCAGCGATTTCACTTGAGTAGCGTACTGCAGGTAAGGAGGATGTGAAATTTCATAGTCGCAACGTGTCAAGCGATCTTTAAAAGGTGCGAAAGAAAAGTGACCGAGTTCGCGAAAAGGGAGACAACAAGAAGAAACTCATCGCTGACGACGATAATCACGACCCCCTCCTTCCAAAGCTCGAGTTCTACTTGCGCTCCCATGATGATTTATCGGCTCGCGGCACCATACATATACCTTATTTGCGCACATCAGGTGCAAGTGGCTATCTTATCACACTGCAACGTACATACTTATCATACCAGTCCAACACATATTATATACTCGGCGCACCAGATCCCGTAGATGCAATCAAGCTCGCGCCGGACTTTCTCCCGCGGGTATATCATAATATACGGTCCTTTTCTCCGTTTCAATGATAGGTGTGTATACCCCCCCCCTCTCGGTCGCACGCATTGCCCGTAGGTGTACACACCTGTGCCAATTCCGTTAAGTACACACGCGGAGCGATAAAGAAATAAAAACGAAAAAGACGAGGAGGGAGAGAGAGAGAGAGAGAGTAACGTTAGCATGATTTCACTCGAGCAGCAATGGAGAGCGAGGAGTCGAAAACGAGTCGCGAGCAAACGACGAGGAAAGTTGGACCGAGGGAGGAGAGGAGAGCTGGCGCTCCGATAAGGAGCCGGTGGACGGAGATGATGAGGACGATGACGAGTCCTGGTCGTCGAGGAGGGGCTCGTTGTGGTGGTGGGAGCGGGGCACGAGATCGCGCGGCTTCTCGATTTTCGGGATGCTGGAGTCAGCGGTGGGGATGGTGGGCAAGTTCCTCGGGGGTATGATCTTCGAGGACGAGGAGGACATCGAGAGCAAGGACAGCGCGGCTAACTATAGGGGCCACCAGCTGCTGAGGCTCACGGCCAAGACGAAGAAGCAGGTGCGTTACCTCCAACAGTTGATGACCGACGAGCCCGACGACGTCAAGTTTTGGACGAATCCCGTCAAGGACAAGTGAGTCGTTGCACGATTGTACTTTGATATATTGTACTTCTTTGTTTGATTGTGTGTAATTGGGTGGTCGATGGGTTTTTAGGGCAACGGATGTTTTGGTGTCTTCGAGGTTGTTGAACGATGTCAAGGAGTTTTTCCGAGAAAAGGGCATCAACTACGTCATGCTGATGTCCGATCTTGAGGCGAGTGCAAATAATATACATTTCCAACATTATTATTTTTTTTTACATTTCAATCATAATGAGTTACGAGCGTTATATCTTTGCAGAAGGCCATAAAATCTCAGAACCCCCGGATGCCCAAGGAACGTCGCCAAGATTTGTTCTCGTCGCAGGGCCACGCCATGACGTGGAAACGGTACCACCGATTCAAAGGTCTGCATATATCTTTGAGAAGATTTGTTGGTAATTTTTTTTTTTTTTTTTTTTTTTTCATAACTGACGTTTTGCTTTTTCCACAGACGTAATGGGTTACCTGGATTACTTGGCCTCGAAGTATCCTCAAATAGTCGAAGTAGTGTCGATAGGCAAGAGTTTCGAAGGGCGGCCCTTGAAAATTGTCAAAGTGTCGACTGGCGCTAACGTAAACGGAGAACCAAAGCCTACCATTTGGATCGACGCCGGTACGTTTTTTTACATCATATAATTAATATAGGTATTGCAATTTCACGAGTTTGGAAATTTATCGCCTCGCGATACTGAAAAGTACAAAAAAGGCGTAAATTTAGAAAAAACTCGAACGTAAATTTTTTGTGACATTTTGCTGGGCAGTGACTACTAAACGCGAGGTAAAATTTCATGTATGGTTCGGTACTTATGGTTTAACTAAACTTTTCATGACCAATAACACATTCGCTGTTTTCTAAAAACAAGTTTTTTTTTCTTGATTTTCGACTCAAAATAAAACCACAGTTCAAGGATAAAAATGTTAATTTTTTTTTTCTAATATAAATTGATGGCTTTTGTGGTCGTTACGTGGTACCGTTAAAAAGTTTATAATTCTCTCTGTCATTTCGAAAAAAAAGGGAAGTCATATATTCTGAATTTTAATAAATTTTCACTTGAAACGTATACCATCCGCATCAGGCCTAGTTTTAGTCACGTACAAAGACCATTAATTTATTACGTCCCCCCTCCCCTTCCTTCTCTAGGGCAATTTGTCATGCTCGCCTTTAATTTGAATTCCAAACCATCCTCGTCCTGAGATCTTTCTCCCTGAATTTGCATTCCGTATCTGTCCGCGTATGTGGTCGACGAAAACAGATGTCGTCCAAGAAAGTTGACGTACCGAAAAGCCGTTAAACTGTCGCGTGTGCGCTCGTGACCTTTTTCTCAAAAGGTAAAAACTAAATAGCCTCACGTGGACAATTAGGCGCGGGGCTCGAGTGCGAGGCGCTTGTAAAAATTTATTACGTCAAGAATAGAGTGTACTTAAAATGTCACCGTAATAGGTGCCGTACCGCGTGTGCGTACAAAAACAACAACAGCATATAAATACGTCCACCATAAAAGCACATACAACTGTTATTCGTATGGGTTATTTTTTTTTCTTTTTTATTCTACTTTGCTCCTCTAAAACCCATAGGAATGCACGCCCGAGAATGGATAAGCGTGGCGGTGACGACCTACATATTAAACCAGCTGGTCGAGAAGAACGAGAACTACACGCGGCTGCTGGACATCACCGACTGGGTAATAATGCCCGTGGCCAATCCCGATGGGTACGAGTATACCCACACGGACGACCGTCTGTGGCGGAAGACCCGCAGCAACCACGACGCTGAGCCCCAGGATGATACGAGGTATACGTGAGATTTGTACATCAATACATTGGGTGACAAAAAAAAAAAAAATCCATTTAAAGCCATTTGCTGCACTTTACGAGCCAATCAATGGGCCGCTTCCTCTTCTTACGGTACACTCCACGAAAACACATTTAGAATCTAAGTTTATGAAAGTAATATAATGATCAGGATGATGATGATGATGATAAGAGTGCTTGTTGGGCGCCGATCAGGGACTAATTTGAATTATTCATTGGAATGAAGTGGATGCCTACGTATAATATACCTATACATATTAGGCTCCTGTGTGTATAATATGTATGAATAATTGAGCAGGCAAGCTCCCGGTTTCCTGCACGTGGTCTCCCAGTACACAAAGTGGCTGTTCGGCGGGAGTTGCGAGGGTGTGGACCCCAACCGTAATTTTCACATCCACTGGGGTGACGATAAAATTGGCGCCAGCACTGACCCCTGCGCCGACACGTACCAGGGCCCGAGCCCGTTCTCGGAGCCGGAGACCAGGGCCATCTCCAACTACATCATGAAGAACAAGAAGTTTATCAAGTAAGCCCAATTACTTTCGGCTCGATCATCCAGTATATTTTACTCCACGAGCATTCATGAGTGTCATGGTATTTTATGTTATTTCGACTGATTTTCGCGACTAGTCTCATCTCGTGTATTTCGTGATAAAAATTGATGATTTAATTGATTTTATTTGCGAGTAATCTAAACGATGATATGTTTTGAGAAACAGAACTTTTAAGAAAACTGATTCATGAGACATTAAAAAAAAAAAAAAAAAAAAAAAGGAAAAAAATAAAACCAGAATAAACGTAGTACATGGTTAGAATAAACGCGCAGGGGGCCACAGAGATATTATTATCTCGGTAGGCTCGACGCGAAGAATTGCGTACGCGTATAATCTAGTTTTCGTATACCAACTGCACTCAATATTGCCTATCTCCTGTTATAAGTTTTTATGTGTCTTTGTCTTGCAGGAGCTACTTGACTATGCATTCCTATTCCCAAATGATCCTGTGTTGCGGTCTCACGCGCACGAGGCCGGCCGATTTCGACGACCTGATGAACATCGCGAATAAAGCGAAAAAGGCCATTGCCAAGGTCAACGGCATCGAGTACAGGGTGGGCTCCGCGGCCGAGCTCCTTTACCCGACGACAGGTCAGAACACAGCATACATTTTTCCGAAAAGTGCATTATTTTTTCTAAACAATTTTTTTTTTTCTCACTATTTACAAGCACAGTACGATGAATTTTTCTATTTTTTTTTCTTTCTTTGTTTTTTTTTTTTTTTTTTTTTTTTTTTTAAAAACACAATTCCCAAAAGAAAAAAAATTTTTTTATTATAAAGTAAAAATTATTTTTTTTTTTTTTGTCTAAAATTGTGTTTTTTTCTTTCAAATTATAACGTGAAATGGAAAAAAGTTATGCCAAGTAACATATTATATGTGTTACGAGAAGTGGTTGAAACAATTTTTTTAGTATATATAAAAAATATCCGTGTCAATGTATGTATAAAATAATGATCGTTATTGTTTTGATCGGTAACAGGTTCGTCGGACGACTGGGCCAAGGAGATAGCGGGTATAAAGAACTCGTTCACGATAGAGCTGCGCGATCGAGGAAACTACGGCTTCCTCCTGCCGGCCTCGCAGATCATCCCGACCGCCCGCGAGACGTGGGCAGGCGTGCGAGTGATTGCGCGTATGTCCGCGGCGCAGGGCAACAACACCTGACCTCGCAAGTGATGACGCGCGTATACATTGATATGCTCTCTGTATCTACAGGGTCGATCGCCAAAGTAGAGTAGATAAATACCTTTTGTGCGACGGAAATTAAAGAGTTCGAAGAAAACTTTACCTGTACGCATGTGTGCTCTCGGGATGTTCAACAGTGGGTGCCGAGAGTGCCAATACTAAGTATCGATAAGGACAATAAGTGTTTAACGAATGTGTGTGCGAGAGAGAGAGAAAAATCGGCACAATGGCTGGTTAGTGTGCCGATTTTGGGAATCATTGGTTGGAAGCAAAGAATAAATATAAAGGACAATTATGTATTGTTTATACCGAAGCTTATTTTATTCGAAATGGGATGATGAAATGGGCACGGACTTGTGGTTATCGCCAAGGTGTCATGCTTTTTCTCCGATTGATGCTTCTTTCGGTACCGTCACGTTACTTATATATACCTCATGTTTATTTATATTTTAATGACAAATAATCTTGACAGCGTACGTTTACCTGCCCATTGTTGGCTTTGTGCGTTCGTTAATTTATTTGTTTGCGTGTATGAGTAATAAAATCTTGTAGTTGTTAATTCTCTGTTTATTTATATAATTGTTTTTTTTCTTTTTTTTTCTATTAACAATAAGAGAAATTAAAAATTTTAATCAGACAACTTTTAGTTTTTAATCGATCCCACGTTATTTCTTTTCGTTTTTTATAATGCATTTTATTGTGATGATTGATATTAAATAAATATTTCTCTCTACAAGCTGTGAGTACATAGCACAAAAAAAAATTTACTTGATAAAGGTATTATTATATTTATGTGTGTAGAATGACTTAGTAGTAGTTAGTGTCTTACGAAAGACAGTGAAAGCGGTTGAATAAAATTAGCAACAATAATTGAAGGACTTGATTCAGGTTCACTTAAAGTGAGAAATAATAATTATATAAACATATTAAATTAATTAGAATGTATTGAATTTCACATAGAATTACTCATTTTGAACATGTTTGTTACTTATTTCCACGAAGTATGTTTCAATTCAAAATCAAAGCTATTGGAATAATACGCAAAAAAACGGTTGCAACTCCCATCAAAAGGACTGAAGTGAAAAAAAAAAAAAAAAAAAAAAAAATTACTACTGTTTTAATTTACGTTTTGAACTATTATTTCTAAAAAATTTAAAGTTTTAGTAAAACTCATTGCAGTGCAATTCGAATCAGTGCTCTATTATTTTTATACGAGAAAAGTATGACTGGATTATTCATGACTCTAGATTACCAGAACTGATCGTTCTTCGAATCAAAACAATAAGTAATACTGAAACATAAGAAAAAAAAAAAAAAAAAAAAAAAAATGTAGAAATGTTAAAATTCATTGAAAAGTACGAGAAAAGTGGTTTTTACAACTTTGTTTCACTAGGCAGATCAGGTGCGCCTTGCGCACTAATGAAAAATATTTTCTAATGATGCTTATTTTGATTAGTACTAATTTAATTTACGAATGGTATTGACTGTTTGATCATTTAATTTTTCTATTTTACCGAAAAAATATGTTGTACCGTACATAACCGATGTACTATAATGTTATTACCGTCTTCTACATTTTACATTTTACTTTTTTTTCCAAACGAAAAATGGACCAATGAAATTATAATTTTACTTACTATTTGTAAATACAAAGAATGATTTTAAACATGTTCCGCTCCCTTGTTGTACATATTTTAAATGAGCAGAATTTTCTTGAAACCTAACTTTGCGAATGAGATACATTCTACGTTATATTGGTGGTGCATGCATAGTTTAACTCGTAAAGATGCCCCATGGGGCACCGGATTGGTTGGCGATGTGGTCACAGTTAAAAGCTCGCAAATCGTCACTGCTTATGTTATTTTGGTTCAAGTCTTAATCTAATCGTCGAAACTTGGCGGGAAATTCGGGAAAAGCTGCGATGCAAATACATATGATTCTCATGGGGTGATCTCGTGCGGCGCATCTCCCTGCGCCAAGGGCCCGACGGTTTACGCGAGAGTGAGGGCGTTTATCGGCTGGATCGATGCTGTAGTTGTTAACAATCGTTAGATCCCTCGGAGAACAAAAATATTTATCATTTGTTTGGTACTTTTTTCCCTTTGCTGATGGATTTATCGTCAAAAATGTTGACTGTCCGTACAGATTAAGCCATAACACGATTGTACTCTTATCTCATTTCCCGAGTATAACAGATCACTGAAGTGTACAAAAAAAAAAAAAATTGTTTCAAGTAACCATCTATATACTTAGAAAGTCAATAGTTTCTCAATAGATGCATTGCAAGATCCATCGATATACATATATATATAGATTACATAAAATTAAAACAAACAAAAAAGGCAAAAGGAATCCTTTTGCAAGTGGATAAATTTGTTGTTACAAGCCTGTTATGAAACGCCTGTAGTCGGTTTGAGCCGAAGAATTAGCGTAAGACCAGCGGTTGCTTACAACGGACGAGTGCGTTTTACCTTTTCCCATCGGAACAGTCAGGAAAAAAAAAAAAAAAGAATCGTTTCATAGTGCAATAAATCGAACGAATAGTGCAATACATACCTGCTACATTGTTATTTAACGATATAGTTTTTTTAAACGTGGAGACACATGCCAGATACATATGTTAATGTCTAATCATTTTCTCCACAAAATACTAATAAAGTGAATGTTACTAAAAACAATATTTCTTTTCTACCTACATATTATACAAACACACGGATATTGATTTTTTGTTTCCATATTTTATCGTAATAAGCATCCAATTTAGTGGAAAAACTAAATTTCTAATAAAATTCGGTGTGCCATTGTAACGTTGTCTTCCGTCTAATTCGAGTACGTACAATAAAAGTGTTTGTCGAGTAAAGTGAGAAAATAACTAATGAAATAAACGCCATGAAACATACGGGTGGTACACATGTGCCGTAGATGAGATATGTTTACATTATTTTATTTATTTTAAACTATGACCCAAACTGATGGACTCTTTTTTGTTGTACTTTTAAGGCGATAGATTACACATATACTCAGTCATGAATTTATCATTTTCTATTACTAAGTTGTTCGGTTTTTTAATGGTCCTAATGGGTCACAAAAGTACAAGTGGATATAAATCTCTCAATTTTCAACGGATAAGACCCATAGATATAGACATCACTCAAAAGTCGAGGAAACAACAAAGAAAAGAAGAAATCATTTCGCAAAACTGTGTCAGCGAAACGCGCGACGAACGGTGACTTTCCGATTAGTCATGTGTCGAAACGCCGACACAAGAGCCTTAACATCATATATATATATATATATATATATATATATATATATATACACTATTGAAGAATTAGCGTAAGACAAGCGCCCGCTCGTGTATACAGGAAGAAAAGGCACCCAGCCTTTGACATCGAAGCGGTGTACACATAAGAGAGGAAAAAGCCGTTTTCAATCAATGGCCATTTACGGCAAAGCACTTCCGCCGTTCCGCGTAAAATGATCGAGCCAACGGCGCGCCTGCAGCTTGCCCAATGATTCGCCGCTCTCTCTCTCTTTCTCCCAAAGTCTCAACTCTTCTCTGCGCGTTATACCCGCATCGACAGATTCGTAGGTACCGAGTGCGGAGCTCGCGCCAGCGCTGCAGATACACATCGATAACCACACCGTGATCACAACTTTTGAGTCGCGTCCGGAATCAACGTAGGATGAAAAGGCTGTTGCTGCTCGTTTTGCTCCTCGTCGACCAGACCCGACGCGGCGAGGGTGAGTGTACACACCTGTACTCCGAGTATAATAAATGGTAAAAAATAATTTTCTCGTTATTCGGTTACCCGTGTTGTAGGGGCGGAAACGTCGGAGCTGGCTCTGCTGGCGGAGCGGCCGACGCGCATCGTCGGGGGCAAGGACTCGGAGAAGGGCCGCCACCCGTGGCAGGTCTCCCTGCACTGGTTCAACAAGAAGCGCGGCATCCGGCCGCGGCACGTGTGCGGTTGGTCCTCGAATGTTTTTACTCTTTTTTTTTTTTTTTTTTTTTTTCCACCACCACTCTTCGTATGGATACACCTGAATAATTATTGCTACCACGCGTCAAACGCGGGAATAATCAACGAGTTTTTTTTTTTTTTTTTTTTTTTTTTTTTTTCCACCACCACTCTTTAAGCTATATACTTTGTTCAAAACGTTTGCCATTGTAACTGTGGTGGTGCGCAAAAACAAGCCCCGAAATTTTGGAAAACGAAGGGGTGTTAAAAGCCGTGCCATTTTTCTTATGTACTCGTGATTCTGACGATGACGGCACGTGCGAATGAAAGAAAAAAAAAAAAAAAAAAAAATTTGCATTAATGTTCGTGCCCGACAAATGTGAAACAGGTGGGACGCTCCTGGCCTCGGGCTGGGTCCTGACTGCCGGGCACTGCCAGACGTTGAGTCCGAAGCGTCCGGGGGGCCAATACATGGTACTGGCGGGTAAGCACGAGCTCGGCACTCCGGAGGACACGGAGCAGACGCGCCTCGTCGAGGAGACCTTTGTCCATCCCGAGTACTCGGGGTAAGTGGGACGAGTGCAATGCGCCCGAACGACAATACATGTATACATTACACGTGCGCTACAGCTCGGTGGGGCCGAACGACATAGCGCTGATGAAACTGGAGAGGCCCTTCGAGCTGAACGAGTACGTGTCGACGGTGTCGCTGCCCTACGCGGACCAGATGCACAGCGGCGACGCGATACTCACGGGCTGGGGCAGTGTCTCCCGCACCAGGAAACCCGAGTCCCCGCGGGTGCTGCAGGTGGCAACTCTACCGCTGCTGGATTACGAGGAGTGCAAGGAGGTTCTGGACGAGCGCCTCAGGAGGGAGGACGAGAACCCCATTGATCCCACCAACGTTTGCACGGGACCACTCGACGGCTCCCAGTCGGCGTGCAAGGTATTATAAGTGCATTACAATTTCATACAAGTATACGTATATATGTGTATGTACAATAAACAAGACATTTTTTATATTTGCAGGGAGACTCGGGTGGTCCGCTGGTCGTGATAAACTCCCTCGACATGGTTGAAATCATCGGTGTGGTCAGTTGGGGCATATATCCGTGCGCGAAACGTAACAGGTGAGAATTACGTTTACCAAGTATATATACATTGGGCATAATATGTCATTGTTGCATATTCGATTGCTTTTTCGGTCATTGGGGGTAAAAGATAATAATTAGTATACGAGTAAAATATTGCATTTGAGAAGTGATAATCAAAAACATTTTGTTTGAAAATTTAAAAAATCTTTACTTTATTCAAAATGAAATATTTGCTACTCTGATTTTTATTTGGTATTTTGTTTCAATTGCAATAATAAAAACTAAAGGAGCATTTAATTGCAATAAAATCAAACGGAGCATGTTACTTAAACGTAATGTCGTATCTCTTTGACAGTCCATCGGTGTACACGAGAGTCTCGGCCTTTGTTCCCTGGATTCATCAAATAATGCGGGACAACTGAGATAAAGAACAAAAGAACATAAAGTTGACGTGTATTATTGATACCCCATCCTGTGCTTGAAACCACATAATATAAAAAGCCTCGTGAATCGAAATTTTGTGATACTCAAAAAGTAGGAAAAAAATGTATAGATTGTAAATAACCAAATAAACGAAGAATTTTACTCGTTACTCTCGAGACTTGACAAAACTTTTCATTGTTTTCCTTATCCGAACATACACAAACAAACAGCTCTGCATCTGCCAAATTGCAGCTCATCAACTATCGCGAATCTTTGGTCGACGAGCGTTCGTTTGCTGCTCATACAAAGACTGTACTCGTGAGGAAAGTAAGTATATGTGTATACGTGTGTACAAGTAACGGATTGGTAAGTAGTTGACCTCGGGAGAGATAAACCGTTTTCCCCGTTGAATTTCGTGGTACTCCCACTCTCGCTGCTGGTGGCATCGTCACCATCATTATTATTGTTATTATCATACTATTACATTATGTAGGTGTATACAAGCCAAAGTGACTTGAAACCAGTTTTTGCCCGAGCACGTCATTTTGCGGAAGTTGTTATGCGCGAGTGATTCGGCAAACGAATAAAGCAAGTCTTTTTTCTTGGCAAGTTTTATTTATTTATTTTTTTTTTTTTTCATCCCTCCTCGTTATTTCTCAACTCAAAGAGACCGGGAGAATGAAAAAGGCTCGAAGGAGGAGAAAGGATTTCATAAACCCGATACCAATACATATATATATATACTTTTGCAAAATGTCGATTATTGTTATTATTATGATTATTTACAAGGGCTACAAATTATCGTACATGAATAAATAAATAAATAAACAAACAATTATATATAGGTACAAGTACAAAAATATCACTATACCGAAGGAGAGAAAACATCACAACTCTTTCGTATGCTTATGCAGACGCGCATGAAATTGGAAGCGCGAAAGCACGCACAGTATATTCTTATTCTTAATGATAACGATTCACTACACGAATAATAAAAATAGTTATAAAATTATGATTGGACGCGATTTATGTATGTACACGATATTGCAATGTGTGCGAGATACAAACGCAGGCGGATGCTGGAACGGGCATTGATATACATTGTAAGCTCCTACATATATATTATATAGTTGAGTATGAGATGAATGACAAAGCGAGCAATTTTCGTATCAAACAAGTGGTGCAGCGCACGTATGGATCAATTCGCGAGAACAGCTCGAGAGACGACCTGGACGGCAGCAAGGGCCTCGAGGGCCGTAGGCTTGATGTACATCGCCGGAAGGATGAAACCGTATTTTCCCTTGTCGCGCAGTTCGATGGTGTAGGCGTACCTAGAAGCGATTGAACCACGTGTTAGGACACAAATCAACACGCGCATTGTATATATTATGATAAGAAAACCCGTACTTTATATTAGCCAAGCCCTTGGCCCAATCGTCCGATCCACCAGCCGCTGGGTACAATGTCGTCTGCAAAGGAACAAAAAAAAAAAAAAAATAATAATTATTCGAACTAAGAAAATACGATTTGAGTTTGGATGTGATTCACGCACAGCGCTGTTGCCGACGGTGTACTCGGTGTTGGAGCCGGCGGCGCGCATAGCCGCAGCCATGCTCCTGCCCACGTTGTCCAGGTCCTTGTAATCCGGGGGGACAACTCTGTCGTAGCCCCAGCAGTAGAGTATGAACTGGCCGTAGCTGTGGAAGGACAGGTACGCCTGTGGACCCGCAAAAGTAACGATTGGTATTGATTATACTCGACCAAAAATCGTTATGATCGGGTCGGACCTTGAAATTGGCGGCACTTATGTCAAAGAAGTTCCGGATGGCGTTGGTCTCGGGCTCGGAGAAGGGCCCGGTGCCGGCGTAAGTCTCCCGGCAAGGCTGCTTGCTGGTGCCCAAGCCGCCCCATCGGTACCCAAAGTTGCGATTCAAATCGACACCGATGCAGGAGCTACCTTTCTCGGTTCTGGCGCGGTTCTTCCGCCAGAGCCTATCACCCCGGAAGGTGTACTCGTACCTGACCATTCATATCGTTATACGGTTGTTCATTAAAAGTCATGAAAATGTGTATAATAAGCGAATGTCTTACCCGTCGGGGTTGACGACGGGCAAAATGTAGTAATCGACCTCGAGCTGCTCGCTGTGCTCGACGAGGTAGTCGATAACGTAAGTGACGGCAGCCGGTGAAATCCACTCTCGGGCGTGAATGCCCCCGTCTATCCAGATGGCCGTCGCGTTCTCTATTCCCTTGCTTATGCGCAGCACCTGTACAACATACACGCATATATATACAATGCCAGCCCATATATATATATATTGTATTGTATTGTATTGTAACTTTATTGAGACCTTGTGGTTGAAACCATGTCTGGCCCTCAGAAGATATTACAGTAAATATATTTAATAAGATTTACATAAATATATATTATACAGGTAAGTTTGCGCAGTGCATATGTACTTAAAATTAGTCACAAATTAATCGCATTTGCAAATATTATGAAAAAGAATTGGAATTAAGTTATACAATATAAAAATAACAAAATAAAAATATTGAAATAATAGTTGACAACTAAGAATATTCTTATTTAATAAGTAGTTTTGAAACTGAGACTATATGGACAACTATTTTAATTTATGTTATAATAAAAATAAAAATAATAAACGTGATTTTAACAATAATTTATAAAAATAATATTGGGCTTAAAGGCAGATATTGTTCAGTCAAATAATAACAGGTTCCAGACCCGAGTTGAATCTTTCCTCGTTTAATAGTGCGTGCCAGAGTGTACTTTTGAATACGTTTATAAGTGAGGGATCGAAGATAAGGAAACCAAGTTGATTTAGAAGGTAGGTAGCTTGGATTAAAAAAGACTGACGATAAGTCTCGGTTCTAAAGACTGGACAAAGTAGTATATATGTATACACGCTCGAGCGCCTCAGCGGTTTTAGCCACTGTCGTTTTCTCTCTCAACTCTTATGCAGCCGATCGCCACTATGAATAAATAAATAAATAAATATATATATATATGTACACATGTCGTACCTTGAGGGGGCGACCCTCGACCGATTTGCCGATCGTCATGACGGAGCAAATGTGAGGGTACGTGTTGGCCAGGTAATCGAGGTAGCCGTGGATGTCCTCGAGTCTGTGGTAACTCGTCCACTCCATTCTGTGACCTGTACAAGTGTTCTTTTTTTGCTTGAAAGGAGGGACGCAAAAATGCATTATAGGTATAGGAGGACAGATACGCAAATGATGCGCGATCGGATTGAACCAAAAGCCGAAAATCACAATAGATACCAAAAAAAAAAAAAAAAAAAAAAAAAAGGAAACAGAAAGAAAAAAGAACAAAGGGTCGCTAAAAAAGCCTCACCCTTCCATTGCCAGGGTCGATCACCTCCACCACCACCAGCGTCTAACGAATTAGCTACGGGATATCGAGGAGGACAGTAACTACAGTAGGTATATTTTTTTCGCATCCCCGTGACTTGCAGGGTAGTCTTCCACCAAGCGTAGCGTGCTAAAACACCACTTGAGGCGTCAGTGTAATTAATTAGCTCATCTTCCACTCTCTTATTCTTTTAAGTTCCAAAATGTCCCTGGACAAATATTAAAATCCCGCAGAATACATGTTGTGCGCAACGGTGACGAATAAATAGAAAATGGGTTATCGGAGTAGGCACCGACGGACGGGGCATCGAGTTTGAATACAAAGTAACTTTCTCGGGAGCCTATTGTTTTCACGGCCGCGCACTCGCCGTCAATGCACCAATCATCCGCCAAAGTGGCGCGATATTTTATTCTACCCAACAAACAAACCTAACGAGGGCATAAACCATCATCCCTCGAGAATACAAGTACTCGCAATGCGTGAGACGCGAATATTAAAATTTGCAAGCAAAAATGACAACTGGTACTTGGCAGCAGCAAAAGCAGCGATCAATGAGAGGAGGAGGAGGCGGAGGAGAGTGGGGGGGGGGGCAAGGACCGAAAAGCACCGGCTAGATGGGGATACGAAAAGAAAAAAAAGCAAGAGATCACCATTGCGGCCCTCGAGCTGTTCGAAAAATTCCTCCGATTGGACCGGATTCTCGTGGTCGATCGCCTGCTGCAGATCCCCAATGACGACGTCGTAGTTGATGTTCTGCTTGTGCAGGAAGCGAGAGACGCGCGGTATAACGTCAGGAAGTACTAAAACGTCCATCGAGGTGTCGTTGCCCGTCCATAGAGACAAGTCTGCGCGCGTGTGAGAGACGATTACCCAGAAATGCCATGTACTGTTTTGTATAGAAATATTGTTGGAAAAAAAAAACAAGGGTAACACAATACGAGGCACGAACCTCCTCTCTTCTGGAGGTAATCGATGTAGTCGTTTTTGTCACCGGCCTGGAGATCGATCCTCCAGAGTTGGGCGCCGTCGTAGGTGAGCCTGTCCTTGGCGATGTCCGCCGCGGCCACTGCAAGGCAGCACACGGCGCAACGGATAAGCAACCCGGGGATATCCATGGGGGACGTGCGACTGACCTCGCGACCGCGCTCACCTCCGCCTTTTATAATATTCGGAGTAACGGGACAACCACCGTCGACGCTCCTCGGGACTTTTTCGTGCCTCCGTACAATATACATATGTGTGTATACACGCTCGACCGAACGTATACGCTTACGCGCGGGCGTGAGAAAGGAAACAAGGAAGAGGTATCAGGACCGAGGTGCGATTCCCTGTATAATATACAACCATCAAGAGGAGCGGGTATATATATATATATATATACGTATTCCTCCTGCAGTTGGCGTTTTTTCTTTCTTTCTTTTTATTTTTCGTCGGCCTCCTCTTCGCGCTCGGGCTCCCCGGCTCAAAAAACCCACTGCACTTACCACGCGGTGCACGAGTGTGAAACCGTGGTATATACACACGCAACATTATAATAGTACGCGTGCTGCAGAGAATCAATAATTTTTATTGGCTCAAAGATGCCTCAGGGATGATGATTCATAGCGCGACATTGCTCTGCTTTTTGTTGCTGTTGGTATATATTTTACATTATATCTTTTTTTTTTTTTTTTTGTATATATATATAGACCTCGATACTGGTGGTCCTTATCAATCGTACGCTTTAGTAAAAAAAAGTCGATAAATCCACGATTTCCATTATTATTTTCCAACTTTGCTTGACCATCGGATCCGTGATCGGTATCATAATGGATAAAATAGTTTAGTCCCTGGACCGCAATGTATATCCTATTACATATGCCAGAGGGCGTCAACAGTTTCATCAAGATTTCAAATGTACCTATACACAGCTATACATAGCTGCGGTAACGGCGCACATTTGTGTACACGTTATGACACGGATTCGCGTCCATATATATATATA